TATCGGAATTCGTAATATCTTCATTAGCAAGTCGAATGATCAACGAGGTTTTTACGAACAGCCGTGTCCGACATGACCTCCGTTGGCTTTGACTCTGGCTCGAGGTTTTCCATCGATCCACCCGCTACTTCGGCAGAGTCATTGATTTTCAGGGATACAGGAGCATGAGAGGAGGTTGAGTCCACAGCAGGCGTGGGGGCCGTAACTGTGGGTGGTCTCTGCGATAATCTTCTTGTTTGGGAAGGAGTGATTCCGGAGACTTTTATTCGGGTGACAGCACTTGGATCGTCTCTCGAGGCTGGTATCTCAGTCAGCGGAGGTTGGGTAGAAGGTAGGGAAGGTGTGGTCGGAGGTAATGAGGTGGTGGTTACCGGCTGATGTGACACGGTGGTACTGATCTGCCGATGAAGATTACGAGTAGGGTCCTGGTCATGCTGATTTTGTGTCCGACTGAGGAGACTTGTTACCCTTCGTCGAGATGTGCTAAAGAGCAGCAACGGCGAGCTGGATGTCGTGGTTTGCACTGGCTGAGGTGTGATCGCCGCTGGGGTCGTGACTACTGCAGGTGCCACGTTCGGCGGGGTTTCGGGATGTGCACTGAAGACAGGTCTAGTTGTGGGCCTTGCAGAGGCCTTCGTCGAGATCCTTGGAACCTTCGATAGGGATGTCGGACGCCGGCTCGTGACCCGGACAGTGCTTGGAGGTGGCGCTTCCTCCCTTCTCGTGGACACTGGTCTCCTCGTGGCAGCAACAACGTCACTGCTGTGAGCGAAACCGGTACGGTGGAACGGCCGACGAATTCGCCCATTTCTCCTCGACGACGCTGTCGATGATTCTGCAAAGCGATGTGAAATGAGAATGGATTGCCACTGATCTAAAGGCTCACCTATGATCGCCTTTAACACCGCCTTTTCGACATCGCTATCCGAGACTAGATCTGCGGGCACGGCTAAATAGACTCATATTCAAACCTTGATTCAGATTTTCGATCAGTTGAATCGCATACAATCAGTGAAAGCTCTAGAAGGCTCTTGGAGATAAAACCCAGTACAGCCAACACTAAAGCCGTTAGTGACTTTATCAGACATCGCAGATGAAAAAAAAGTTAGGAGCTATTGCCTTGAGAAAATCCGAAAAGTAAAACCTTATTCCCTCTTAGTATTGCATATCTTTCAACCTTCTTCCATCACCATCATTCAACCCTTCAAAACCTGCCCTCTACGTCATAATGCTCGGTCACCTTTTTGTTCGTCTCTTCACACATCTTCAATAGGATTTTTTGTTAAGAACTTAAAGGCACAGCCCACATTCAAAACTTGTTGTGACTTTTCTTGAGAATAAAACGACTCTTACGACTAGGACCGTTAGTGAGAAGTAAATAGCAAGGGAAACTATAAAAAAACACTCAAAAACGTACGTTCTTACGACTAGGACTGTTGGTGAGAAGTAAATAGCCGGAGAAACTATGGAAAACACTCAATCGAAAGCTTTTTTGTATTTCGACCGTGACACAACGGAAACACAGTGCCGCAAGAGGAAAGGGAATATGCTAACGCATTTTTGGACTTGGAGGTTTTGTTAGATAAAAAATCCTTTTACTTTTCGAAGCACTCCCCCTTAAAGGCAAAGTTCGGGCTCAGACCCACCTAAGAAGCCCTTACCATGGCTAGAAGTGCTGGGCACCCAAGTGCAAAGTTAGCGCCACCTTTCTACATCGAAACCCGTCACCAGGACCCTAGGCGCCATGAACTTCCTAACAGACATCCACCCTCTGACTTCTCCTCTACCGCTCTCCGCGCTCACATTATCTCTCATCTCCCTGCCTGTCTTTTGAACTTCTCCACAGCATAGAGCAAAATGCTCGTATTTCCTGTGTATTTCAGGATTTTCTTTCCTTTTTTCTCCACTGGCGGTCCACCTCCCACCCCTACTTTCACATTTGAGTGGAATCACCCATCAATTTAATCCTGATTCTTGCCTTTAAGGAGATGAGTGAAAATTGGTCGAGGATCACATTATCGAAGATTTTCGCCTGTTCAGCCACGCTCTCCCGCATGCACTCACTCAACACTATTCTCATTCCGCACAAAGCCACGGCCGTTACTCACCCCGGTTAAGATCCATCGCTACAATCCTTTCTCCTACCATTAAATTCCCCCGCTTCGACCCCCTCCCTCTCGAAAAACCACTCGTACGATCCCTATCGCAGGGAATTTCCTGAGAGACGGATGACCCTACTGCTTAACTGCTTATAAGAAGTGACAAAGAATGCAAAAGCGACCGAGTAGATCTTTTGACGATCGACATGAATGGTAAGGGCACACATCGAGTTGTTGCCTTTCGAATAGCAATCAATGAAAAGACAAAGCCAGAGCAGCACGTTTTAGAACTCTTCGTGACTGGCACAAAATCGCTAAAAAGCTCTCTTTTCTCAAGGAAAAAAAAGCATCAAAGCAGTTCTTGGCATAACAGCTGTTAGCTACGTTGGTTTCGGAAAAGCATCACAAAGCCTCTAAGGGTACTGAGGGAGTATTTTTCGGAGAGTAGTGAGCAACTCAAGTCAACTGGAGCGTAGTGCGGAAACTTTGAGAAGGCAAGCATCTACCCTCTCTCTGAGCTCGTTGCTAAAGCCTTGAACTATGGAACAGGGTCAACCGCCCGTTCGCAGTATTCGAGGGGGTCGCATTCGCGATTTTGGGAAGGCGAGGGATCGCATTTTGGGGTTGAGCGAGGTGAACTACTTCTGGGAAAGTTG